GAGTTTAGTGCATTTTGAAACTTTGGCAATTTGTAATAAGGTAATTGCGATAATACATAAGTACTACGTAATGTGAACTTTAGCTAGTTTCCTTCAGAAAGTGCTCTATAAAAGAATCCCTTCCTCAGTTATAGTGTGCTCTGAAATTAGGGAAGCACTTCCGCAAAGAACCCGGTAATGTAAACATCGCCAATTTTGGCAATAATAGTTCAAAGTTGGTAACCCAGCGGATTCAACCTATTTGCTTGTTCGAAAGTTGCAATCATTCCTCTTACGTTCATTTTGTTGAATTATGACCGTCATTGTTCGCAATTGCCGATTTAAATTATTCTTCACTTATTTATTATTATTTTTTCGTATTTTCATGCTATTTTTATGAACTTTTAACAATAAATAGAAATTATTATTAAGGAGGTTTTCGGTGACAAATGCTGGTTCGTGGGAGGTGGTCAATTATTGGTTAAACGGCTGTTAACGTAGCGTTAAGCACGCAGAACCATGAGGTTTCCAAACCCTAAAATATTTTTATTTCGTGGGCCACCAAAATATCCATTTTAAATAATTAATTTAGTAATGTTTTTATGGCAAATCTTTGGAATATGGTAACAGGTAGTTAGGCGACATTTTGGTAAGGCGATGAAGGTTACTAGCTAGGAATTTAGCAGTGTAAATGGATAAAGTCAAGAGTGTGTGCAATGCCATTTTTGTGCAATTCTAGGATTTTTTTTAAGTGAAAATAGGTCGACGTGTACATGGATACCGTGTATGTGCAATTCTTAAAAACGTGGCAAGCAGTTTGCGATTCTGCACTTTCTCTCAATTTCGCACCTAATCTTTTTCATGATTAAGCACTTTTGTTCCATAAAAGTTCTAGCATAATCACAATTCAGTTAGCAGATTGTTGGAAAAAAATTTTGAGTTTAAAAAAAAAAAAAATGCCTTTACTTCGTGAAAACAAAATGGCGTCCAAACAAAAACTAGCAGGTTGCTGTAGCAGGGTTGGTCGCCAAATTTTCGATAAAAAATGCCAAGTTACCATAATCCAAAGATTAACCATTTTTATTTTTATTATTGGTTATTGTCATCTGAAATAATGAGAAAAACAATATTTATGGCTTAAAACTTTAACCATATAATATATTGTTAATGCTTTTTCCGACAATAACCTGTGAGAAGATCTCTGGTGTGACACACAATTAGACTATTAAATTGAAATAAATATTATTGATTCTAAAGTGACAGAATAGTTTTATGGATCCCCAAAGTCATCAAAATTAGCAAACCACTACTTGTGTAAAGAATCCAAGTGCAAATGACTCTTCAAAAATAATAAAATGTACAATTTTCTAGTTCTTTTATAATGCTACTTGAAGAAAATTTCAGTACTCTTGAAGATTATTGGTACTGTCAAATATATTATGAAAAAAAGACTCTCAGTTGTTTCAACATACGATGCTTTAAGCTGTTTGCAAGTAAATTGAAAAAATAAATAAATGAAACACTGTTTATGTAAAATGGTTGTATTAAAAGTCATGCATTCATTAATTTGTTACAGGGGCATGGCTCTTATTGAACTAAGACTGTCATTGAATGATTGTTTCGAGTCGGACATTTCTTGCTGCCTGAAACCTATTTCCACCCCTTTTAGAATATGTAAATATTCAGTTGTGGCTCTCACTGACATAAAGTTTGGCCACCCCTGATCTATCATATATGTCTATTGTATTTACACCTATTATATTAATTATCAGATACAATTTTGAGAATATCAACAAGCAAAACACTCAAAAATGAAAAAAGACACTTGTAATAAAAATATTACTATTCTATATGAATTACGGAAAGTATGTGTAATGATTAATACATGACAAAACACTTAAAAAAGTAATAGATTATGTATTGCCTACCTCAGTACTTGAGAAAGTAATGTTGCAATACAACACATAGATAACTTTTTTAATTACATAATATTATAAGTATTTTCTTTAGATTTGTCCTATGAGTAGTTAAGATGGCTGAATACTGGTAGTTCAATCTCAGCTCAAATCCTGATAAACGAGCTAGCTGTGCAGGTTATTTTTTTTTTTTTTCGCATGTGTTTTGTAAATTTTCTGACATTTTCGTGTTTTCGTTAAGTGATGCAAATATGAGCCTATTTACCCTAGAAAATATTCACAAAAGCATGCCTCTTTCAGCTAGCCCTGACATGCTTTGCATATTGAATTAAATAAACACACAAACACTTCTTATTCTTAAAATCATAAAGTTATTAATTTCACATTATATGCAACGAAGCTTTTTAAAAGCTAGGATACTTTCTTTAACAATTACAGTGCTAATTAGTGCTGTACTCAGTTACATGTGAAATAACATCTCAGTGTCACTACTTGTGTCACAACATTGGTTTCACGTAAGTCTTCTTATGCAGTCATAAGCATGAAATAAACAAAACAGACGGCATGAAAAACCTAATTCATACATCCTTAGTGACTGATATTTGACATAGTTTTTATGTTGCATTTGTGAACTACACTGTCAGATTTGATTGAGTGAAATTGTGACTAAATTTCAGAAAACTTTGATAAAATTATGCTGTGAAAATTTAAAAGTGAAATTAAAATCAAAGATCAATTGAACGGTTCAATCAAAAAAGAAATGTTGTCCATAAATATATTATAATAATTAATGATAAAATAGACATTTAAAATATTCGTATAATAAATATATGCAATTAGTGTAATTAATATAAATATCTGCATTTAAAATGATCTAACTTGGACCATATTTGTAATTTTTGTAATGCTATTAAATGTGGACTTTAAATAAAATTTTTAGCAACATACATCAGTTGGGTTTGTTTAAATTATGGAAAAGCATGGGAGAGATATCTGCCTAAGAGGAAAGATGCCTTCAAGGAGGTCTTTCTGAAGGGAACTGGTTTAAATCCATGTTACGTATTGGGAATACCACGAAAACAATCATACAACTTGCCCATTAGCTTGGCTAACCAAACTACCAGGCTTCAGTCACTTTACTGTTTAGCTTCTGATGAACTGCATTATCAGTTGCAAAGCACTGAACAACAAATAATATGCTCCTTGGTTCTTGTTATGAGTTACATGTAAGAAAGCAAGTCTTAATAAAAATTAATATGCCAAATTTAGAGTGAATGTGTTGGTTTTATGCAATACGTGAACATATACATAAAATTTAAAAAAATAAGTCTGAGCAGAATATTATTTATTATGAAAAAACTTTTATGTAATCAGGTAGTTGCAATTAAGTTTTTTTTTTTTTAAATGAGAATATATACTGATTTCATTTATGTGATGATAATGGATTTTCAATCGTAATTTTGAAAGTACTTTGAAATCATGCAATGAAGATATTAATCATAAAATTAGCTTTTTGATTTTATACTTTCACATTTTCTTTAGAAACTGCACTGTTAAAAAACAGGTATATTTTGGAATTTTATAGTACTGAAAGATATTCAAAGACAGATCTGAATTTTACTATTTTTTTCCATTAAATAGATAACTTTGCTAAGAAAAAGGATCATTATTACATGATTATTTTACTTCCGTTAGGTTTTATATATTGTTTTCTTTGCTAACTTGAATTCAGTACAAATTTGCTTTTGTATATCACGTTTAACTGGTTAATGTTGAATTTTCACTTGCATATGCTTAATATATTTTCTCTGCTAACTTGAATTTATCTTACATATTCTTTAATTAATATGATTAAAGTATTGTTTTCTCTGCTAACTTGAATTTATATTACTGATTCTTTAATTATTTTAATTATATGCACTAAATACCACGTTTACGTGGCTTACTTCCATGTGTTTTAACATCTGATAACCGTACACCGATCATTCTCGGTGTCAATCAATCGTTGGTGAACTTGGTGAGTAAAACTGGAACAGCGCCAACATTTCATTGCGGATGAAAACTCAAAATTAGCTGATCATTTGGAATTAAATAATTTTTTAATTGAACATTGTGCTTTTTTTTTTTTTTTTTTTTTTACGATGATTAACATGCATGGCTAATGTTTAAAGTACATTGTTTGGTTTTTGTCTGCAAAAATCGCCAAGCGGTATTCGTTGTTCATGAAATCTGGAAGCCCACTGCGTGAAATGGTTTTTTTTTTTTGGTAACCCTAATGTTGGAAAAAAAAATTTTGTCATTAAAAATGGGTTATTTCTGCGAAACGTGATAAATTTAGATTTTGACTATTTTTTGTAATAGTAACTCTTTTGTATAGACCCAGGTTTGGTTTTCAGTTGATATGTTTTCTTGCACTTGCATAGTATGGTCTTGGATTTTGAACTGGCTATTATTTTGCTTTGGGTACCATCATTTGAGCAAGTCTGAGGTGGGTAAGAGGATGAATGTTGATTAAGAGCGGATGAGCCAAAACAATGAAAAATTTAATTGAATTGCTTACCTGGAGGATGGAGGAGATGCTGGTGGAAAGCCTAAATGTACGCACGTGAAAAAAAGGTATGTTAAAAAATTGACGTTTCATTCTTTTATTCATCTCTGTGTATTAATTTTTGTTAAAGATTTCGTGTTTAATATTTTTATGATAGGAAATATATATTTTTGGTTATTTAATCGTCGCTGTGTGTTAAGAAAGCAGCAAATTTGTTCTGGTTATCATGATAGTTTTAACTTTGTAGCTTCTTTATTTTGTTTAAGTGAAAATAGGTGAATGTGTACATGGACACCAAGTTTGTGTAAGTCTTTGACTTCTTATTTTGGTTTTATGTAGCGGCCATCTTGAAGTTGCCATCAATCTTTCCTGGCACTGATCTTAGAGTCAAAAAAGAAACAATTTTCCAAAGAGTACCATAGAGTAAATTTTTACCACATACACTGTTGTATTGGCACATAACTAATTATGTTGATACTTGAATTGCTATTAGTGACTGGTTTTTGTAACTGTATTTATTTTATATATACTTATAACTTTTGAATGTTTCCTTTCAGCACTAAAGACCCTGGCCAATCTCCATTTACATTTCAAGTTGGATTAGGAAAAGTCATTAAAGGTATCAGTCAAACTTTTTTAAAAATTTTGATTAATTATTGATTTTATTAAAACTGTCTGGATTTGTTAACATTTCTTCAGCAATTGAATAAATTTTGATGCAAAAAATTTTAATTAATGTAGTTTTAGAAGTAAAAGTGTGAAGTTGCAATAGAATTCAATTTTAAAAAACAAAATCTTGATTATAAATTGAAAAATTTTCATGAGCTTATTGCTTTCACCTCTTTAATTATTCCTACTGTGTAATTGAGAGGAAAAAAATTGTAACTATATAAATTTGGCATCTTATGGAAAATGAGCCAGGGCCTTTTTTAGTTTTTAGCATGATTGCAAAATAGTTTTTCAAGTATTTTCCATACCAATTTTATGACATGGTTTTATTTAGCTTATTATATGTTATATTATTACAATTAAATCTTGAAATTAGTTTTTGGCCTCTTACTACCAAGCTCATTAATTTTTAAAAAATTTTTCATTCAAACATCTTCTACTATGATGACAATACAATATTCCTTAGGAATTATGTTGGTACATATGTGTCAATGCAATCCCCTTAGAAAAAGTCACAAAATTTCCAGAATATGCCAAACTTTTGGCAAACAAACACGGAACAGTGTTTTAGTTTTAACCAGCAACATTCCTATTTTCATATGTATTTATTTTGTTATATTAGAGTAGTTTTTTAGATAAGAATTGTAATACTTTTTGTCTTGAACTAGGTCTAAAACTATTCTCTAGTTATATTTGCTTGCAATGGAAGAAGCTACAAAATTTCTTCAGCAACATAGTATTTTGCCACTAGATCTCTTAACAGAAAAAAAAAAAAAAAAAAAAAAAAAAGGAATCTATCAAAGCAATAGCCTTTTTTTTTTTTTTTTCTAATAAAAGAAGCTAAAACTCAAGGCTATTGATTGATTTTTGAGATAAGTACGAATTAAAACATGAAATATGTATGTTATAATATGTATACATGTAATAAAAAATTATAAGTAATCTTTTTTTGAGTAAAAAAGTACAAAGTAGTTATGCCTATATATAATTAATTTTTTTGACCTGTCATAAATTTTTTAAAAGTTAATTTTGAACTTTGGTATTTGTGTATTAGCTCATTGACTGTGAAACTGTCATCAAGTACCATGATTTAGCTCCAGTTATGGATAAGCATGATGCCACAACATACCCATAATATCTGCACTTTCAATTGATTTTGATGAGCCACATAGAATCACGTTTGTGACTGCAGTCCAGTTCATTTATAGTTGGTTGAGAGAACTAACATCTGTTGAATTGAGGGGAGGGCAAAGAATGGCTGACCAAACACTATTAGATTGTAATAATAACCAGCAGGGAATGTGTACTCATTATTTTTTAAACAGACCTTCTAGACAGCCAAAGTATAGAAATTGACGAAAGTTTTTTTACTGTTGCAAAAACAAAGCATGCCAATTAGTTCTGCTGTAGTGGCTATTCGATGGATTATCCAGAGACTTATATATATTTTATTGTATAAGTTGTAGAGAGAAGTACAGGAATGACTGGTACAACTTAGGTGGTTTCCACCAAATTTCATGCTTGAATGCTAACTTTCACACTCAATGGGATAATATGTATGTTGCATATATCCTTGCTTAAGGATCAAACTAATAAATGAATATTTCGATCTTTGTATCACTGGATAAATTTAAAAATAATCTTCCAAATGAAATTTCTTTGTCATCTACAATTAAATTTAACGAACTTTAGTAGTTTTCATTAGTAATTTGATATTTTTAGTTAATACATTTTTGACTTCTAAATCAAACCATAATTTAAATGAATCAAATGTAATCTTACTTCATCGAGTATAACAGAAGACCTTGAAAAAAAGTCACATCTTCTTTGCTACATTGATCAGAAGGAATAATTTCCTGACAGAAAGGCAGTTTTTTTCTTTATTATTTTCCCCCTGTTTCTTGAATTAAAAAGTATAAAATTTAAGTTGGTATAACTAAAAGTATACTAAAAATTTTTAATTTGCATAGTTTTTGACAAATATCTAAAAACAAAATTTCGTTGTGACAGTAACTGAATTTCAAAGAACAGTACAGTCAAAAGTCTTTAATCCGCACTCGTCGGGACTTTGGCGATTCCGGATTATCGGTTTTTCTGGACTATTATTCTGGATTATAGATCATCAGTTTAAATTTGGTAAGATGGCATGCAGAAATTATAAAATTAAAAATATGAAACCATAATTTATGAAATAAAAAGCAATTATGATCTAAAGTGTACCAAGATTTACAAAAAAAAAAAGCTTAATATTTATTTGTTTACTTTATTAAACATTTCTTTTAACGCGCGCATGCGTAAAGCAAACATTACACATAGTCGAAATTAAAAAATTGCAACCAGAAAACTATTTGATGTGTATTCGTGATATTTATAATGATGAGGAATTTGATTTAAACCATATCAAAGACGGAGAACATCAAGATGAAATATTACATTTAGTAAGGAATTATAAGCCGAATAAAATAAAAACATCTGCCCTGAAGATAAGGATAGTGCTGACAAATCAACTTCCAGTTCATTGCACGCTGTGTTGGTTTCCCTCCCCCCTTTATCCATTTTTTGCAGCAATTCCACTTTTTATTTGATGGACATCGAAACATGCTTTCACTTTGTAGATCCTCTGGTAGCTCCAGAATCGGAAATTCTTTTTGACATAATAAAAAGTTCAAGCTTACTTTTATAAAATTGCTCTAACAATCTGCAAAAAATAATCAGCCGGATCCAATTCAAAGATTAAGGAACAACGCAATCTGCAACATTAACTGAAATAGATAATTAGATAATTTTAGCTTAGCTTATACCGTCCGTTATACATTAACCTTTTGAAGACGGGATGGCCATTATAGTGGCCATAGAGTCCTCTCTTTGAAAAGACGGGGTTGTCCACTTTAGTGGCCATGTCTTTTCCCTCCATTTTCCAGGCTGAAAAGTGGGGTGAAACGTCAAATTTGACGTCCCTGGGGTTTTAACAACTTATCTCTTTCAAAGGTCTTCCTTTTGCGACATAGATGCACCCCTCTGAGAATCCATTAAACACACAAGAATCTTTGTTGCATAGGAGGTGAATTCTTAAAGGGGGAAAGCATTCGGTTCAAGATTCCCCGTCCTTTGGTCCCAAAGCCCCGGCCTCAAAAGGTTAAACACGCATGCGTAAATGTATTATGCGTATGCGTTGATGCATGTGCAGAAAGTTTGTACTTTGAGGTCCGGATTAAAGACTTTTGACTGTATAAGATGATATACTAAAAATAATTATATTTAAATGAATAAAATTTTTCTTTGACAATTTTTATTTAAAATCCATCACTGATACTAGCCTTTTGAATGTATTTTAAGTCTTACATAACCAAAAATATTATGATAGCTTTAAAAAGAAAAAAAAAATGTTTGCTTTTTATAGCATTTATCTATAACTATATAACTTTAAAAGGATACGTATTTATTATCCCATTAACCATGGAAGTTGCCTACAAACAAATCATTTAAGTTGGCAAAAGTTGCACCAGTTATTCTTGCAGATTTTTGAGCTACACGTCTATCTGCAGCTTTTACATTAAAACATTTATCAGTTTCCTTTTACAGCCCATCAAATAGCCACTGCTGCAGAAGTATTGACGGCTTCTTTTTTGCACCTTTTAAAAAGGCTTTCGTCGATTTCTACTATTTTGTTAGGCCCTGCAATTTTATCAGAAGCTCTAGAACATAATGAATACAAATTTCCCGCTAGTAAATGTTCCAACCTATTTCTGTTTGTTGACCATATCCAGCCGTTCTTTCTTCCATTCGACACGTGTTAATTTTCTTTACCAGCTGCAGCTGAATTGGAGTGTAGTTACATGTGTGATTTTACAGCCCTCAAACTCTTTTTTCAAGAGTCAAGAACAAAATACAGCAATAACAATTTATATCTTTGTTCATTGAAACAAAAGGTTATTGAGAATCAATCTGTGTTACATCAAGTGAAAGCACAGATTTTATGAGTGTGTTGTAATGTCGTGCTTGTCACAGAGTTGCCAGCTCTCCCAATATACTAGGTGGAAGACTCCCAAGTTCTGCTGTTGTCCTGCCAACCTGATTTGCAACATATTTCTCCTGACTTTCTCTTATTCTTAAAATTTGTCATGATTTTTGTTGTTTGGTTAATACTTCATTATTAGCACATTAATTTTTGATCCATTTGCATTTGGATGTCTGAAAGCACCTGGTTTTACTCTAGATTACATAGAAAACCCAAGTAGTTTCATCAAATTATGAGAAATTATGTTGCACTTTTGCTTTGTGAGTGATAGCAAGTGTTAAAAAATGTCGTGTTCTAGTTCTCCAATGAGCATCGAATGCCACTGCATGTTATCTAGCATATATTAGCCGATGAGCACAAAGCAAGATCGAGGCCGTTATATCGTTCTTGTCGTTGAACGGTGTGAGTGCATGTGCTTTCAAGAAATAGCTTAAGAAATTACAATAGTTATACGAAAAAGGTAAAATCTTCAAGTACTTTTCAAAAATCACATTCAGATGACTTTCCTTCTATTATATCCTCAAGGAAATGCAATACATTTGCGATGTGCACCATTTATCAATGTGATTTTTCGAGTTCGCATGATGGAAGTTCCGATGTTCTCACACATGTTCGTACACAAGAACACAAGTTCTCTTGAAAAAATGAAAAATTAATTTTCCTCTGGAAACAAAGGATCAAAAAGTTATGAATGCAGAATGTACTGTTTGCACTTAAGAATAATTAGTTACTGAACTTTCCGATATTAATTAATAGCTATTTAAAGTTAATTCATTATTAAAAAAGCAATTTTTGTCATTTAAAAATCTTTTTGTCTTTGAGAAAAATCTCCCGATTTTTTAGAGTCGTAGGTTTGCAAGTATGTTATTGATGCACTAAACCATATTGCTTGGTGACAGTTTCATGGTCATGGGGATAATATGAAAGTTCCC